CCCTGTTGGAGGAGCCTGTGACCTAAGATTTTCATCGACATAACTACACTGTAGCTATGTACAATAAAAGCCTTGAATCTGAAATAGTAAATCGGCAGTTATTTGTCAGTGTTTTCACATTTAACAAGCCTTGTCCTTGTTTTCTCTTCCATCCCCTTTACAGTTGAGGATTGGGACAGTTTTCAGGCCATTTTGGATCACACCTACAAGATGCACTTCAAGTCTGAGCCCAGCCTGCATCCAGTGCTCATGTCAGAAGCATCGGTGAGTCTGAACACAGGCTACTTGTACTACTGTCACTATACCAAGGACAAACTGTATTCAGATTGTTTACATTTTTCTGCCAACAACAAAGTGCTGGCAGACTATTAAGTGTTTAAAACTTGTTATTTAAATACTTATTGTGGCTGGGGCTTTTGTTTGTTTGAGCTGTAATCCACATTTGATGAGTGACCTCCTCAGCTCATGAAGAAATGTGTTGACAATCTGTTGTAAGCAGCCCTTTTTCTGCTTTGTCTCCGCAGTGGAACACACGAGCAAAAAGAGAGAAACTAACAGAGCTGATGTTTGAACATTACAACATTCCTGCCTTCTTCCTCTGCAAATCCGCTGTGCTGTCTGCGTATCCTTCACCACACTCCATCTGGAAAATAATTGGAGAAAAAGAGCAAATCTTTGCCTTTAAACCCTTTTATTGGATTACTGTTTCTTTAATGAAGAATGCTCAGCTAGTAATGCATCTGTTACATTTTGAAGTGTATTACATTTCCTTTACTCTGAGTGCCTCAGCTTTGCCAATGGGCGATCTACAGGCTTGGTCCTGGACAGCGGCGCCACACACACCACAGCCATTCCAGTGCATGATGGCTACGTCCTGCAGCAAGGTGAACAATTATCATAAATCCTTCATCATTAGTGTATATCATCTACATGCAGAGTTGACCTGCTTTGCATATCAACCAAGTAATAAAGCAACAGTATTCGAAAAGGTATAATCCTTCATTGAAGCATGTGCTACCTTCTATGATTGATGTTGCCCTCTGCTGGTTGGAGGATGCATCTCAGCTGTTCCTACAAATGTTAGTATTTAATAAGCTTCTTTTGCCATTATAGATTATTTTTGGGCGAGAAGGTTTTTCTGCGCGCCATCAAGTTTTCACCTATTCAAGATTTGAATGACTTTTGAGGAGCAAACTAAACTGTGTTGACTAAAAAAATCTACGTTCTGATACACAGCTGTTAGATTTTGAGCTGCAATGAAAGAGATTGATTCAGGAGATTGCGATTGAGATTTTGAGAGACATGAAGTGGGGAGTTAATGCATATCATGCAAACTTGGATGAGATTTACTGCAGTCCTTGCAATAATGTGTTTTGCATTCTCTCTGACAGGCATTGTCAAATCGCCCCTGGCTGGAGACTTCATGAGCATGCAGTGTAGGGAGCTGTTTCAAGAGTTAAATGCTGAAATAATCCCCCCGTACATGATTGCATCAAAGGTAAGATAACATGACTTTAGCCCGTCTTATTTTTTAATAATCTAATAGAAATATTTAGCATTATTCTATGCTAAGTTGCATTTAGGGTGCAGGACAGGTGAAGATGGTGCCTGTCAAATATTTTTATATTAACAAATGTGTATTTCCGTTATTTTGATCAAATCAATTATACAGTAATGCAAGTTTGTTCTTGTTAATACTGTATGATTTGATTTTCCTATTTGCATTTTAATTGGATTTACTGGTTTGGAAAGTTATGTTAAAGCATTAAATATACAGTTTGTCAGGGTGATCGTAATAACTTTGTTGACCTTTAGATATACAGTTGCAAGAAAAAGTATGTGAACCCTTTGGAATTACCTGGATTTCTGCATAAGTTGGTCAT